CTTTGGCCATCAAGCTGTTTGGATTGGACATGCAGATCATATTCTGGTCTCTGAGAGGATGGATACAATTCCCGTGAATTCCAGTGGGGAGTCCAGCAATTTCAAAACACATTCCTGTCAGGAAACTCATCCCTAGACCAGCGGTTTTCAAACTTTTTTTCTCATGACCCAGTTGAAGAAAATTGTTGATGCCAGAGACCCAACATAATCTGACTAGAGTGGGGGCTCCAGGGTGGAGCTGAGGATGAGAGCTTGGGGTGCAGGAGGGGGCTCCGGCTTTGAGGGGTGAGGGCTGGGACAGGAGGGGCTTACCTTGAGCGGCTCCTGGTCAGCAGTGCAGCGGGGGTGCTAAGGCAGTTTTCCTGCCTCTCCTGGCACTGCAGACCAGGCTGCGCCCCAAAAGCAGCCAGCAGCAGGTTCCCAGCCAATGGGAATGTGGAGTTAGTGCTCAGGACAGGCAGTGTGTGCACTGTCATAGCCCCACCTAGGTTTCTGGGGGCACAGCACCATCTGCGGTGCCAGGACAGGCAGGTAGCTGCATTAGCCCCCCCACTGCTCATCTGATCCCCCTGCAGCCATGAGACCCAGGGCCTGACATTCCACCGCCCCGTGCTGTGTTGCAAGTCATAGTTTAAAAACCACTGCACTGGACCACACGTGGCAAGTCATTGCGAAACTGCTGAGAGCGCAGCCACCGCAAACCCACGTGCAAATTCAAAGGCACGTTCGTAAATCACCGTGTGAACCATCGGCAGGGCTACCTGAGGAGTGTGTCACAGACAGAGGGGAAGGCAGGGAGGCAGAAGAATGGTGGTGGTGATGGGGGAGGGAGCAAAGAGAGAAGAGAATCCTGTTTCTGGCAGTAGTAGACTCACTGCTGACAGCGGCTATTAGTGACAGGAAGCCCTACAGCAGGCATAGGGAATCTTTTTGGGGGGCGGGGGCGGCTGACCCACAGAAAAAATCAGTCAGGAGCTGCACACAGGTGACAAGCAAAAAAGCCACCCCTCACTGGGGTAGCCCCAGCTGAGGAGAAAGACACTCCCCAAATTCCTCTCACACACCAGAGCTTACAGGACTCAGGATAGTCGATTTTGTGGGCTGGTGGGGGCACAGGAGTGCTAATGTGGGCTCCCCAATGTTGCGGGGGAGGAGGGCCCTGAGCCTCGCAGGCTGGATCCAAGCAAGCTAGGGGCATCATCTAGCCCCCAGGCCTTAGGTTCCTCCTCACCTGCCCCGCCCTCCAGCCCTAAAGCAATGATGAGCAGTGCTTGTCTGTAAGCATAGGCCAGGATGAGCCAGGCTCGGCACTGTGAGCTATGGTCAATACATGCTTAGGACAGGGCTATGGTGTGTTGGGGGAGCTCTCGAAGATTCCTCTCAGTGGGGATGCTCCAGTATAATTTCTGTCTAGTACCTCAACCCCACTAAGGCCTGCCTGGAGAGAGGGGATGCACAGCACGGATCCAGAATGGGAGGATGCAATTAAAATCTAGCTCCCCTTTAATTAAAGTGAATTTTAATTAAAATTAAAACCTTGTCTCCTTACCCACCATGGGAGTCAAAGTGCTACGCGCAGAAGCCAAGGGTTACAGGGTTCCTTGGACTCTCAAGCCTTCGCTGTCACAGGAGGCGGCTTCCCCTCTTTGGGCACTGTGCTCCTCCCGCTCCCAGATTTCCAGCTTCAGCGCCCTCCCGGCTGTATGAATATTCGTTATGACAGTGCGTCGAAGGGCACCCGTTCAGGATCAGATCCTGTTGTACAAAAGCAGCAAGGAGTCCTGTGGCCCCTCATAGACTAACAGAAGTGTTGGAGCAAAGACCCACTTCATCAGATGCATGGAGAGACTGTCCCTCCCAGAGCAGGTGAAGGCAGGATGCAGGGGATAGATGAGACAAACAGAGGCTACGCTTATAGAGCTTCCCTCTTCTGCAAAAGCCTATGCAAATGAAGCGCAGATTAGCATATTGTTGCACTTCATTTGCATAATTAATCAGGAGCCGTTTTTGCGCCAAAAGGCACCATCTACACAGCGCCTTTTTGTGTAAAAAGCCCCTCTTGCGCAAGAGCCATTCTTTCTGAAAAAATGAGAAAGTGCAAGAGGAGGTTTTTGCGCAAAAACCTCGTGCACAAAAATGGCGCCTAATAAATTATGCAAATGAAGCGCAGCAATATGCTAATCCGTGCTTCATTTGCATAGGCTTTTGCAGAAGAGGGAAGCTGTGTAGTTGTAGCCAGAGAACGGGGGCCAAAGTGGGAGGAGGAGCTGAGTTTTTGTATATTAAGCACAGCTCACCACCTGCCTAGCCAGCTCCTCTGTGGCTCCCTATTTCCCTCTCTACTTGCCTCTTTCCTATGGATCTTGGTAGGGGCCACCTGCTTGCCCAGTCCTCCTAACTGTGGGTCCTGTACCCAACCCTTTTCCCCACATGAACCCATGCCCTCTAACAGCCTTCCCAGCTCTCCATGAGAGATCCACCTCTCCCTTACTTCACCCAGCTCCTTCCTCATTGTGATGACCCCCACATCCTCCCTTGCACACGCTTCCCTCCTACTGCACAGGAGCAAACCCCACCCCACTGCAGGGTTCCCTGTAAGCTCAGCACTTGGGCAGCCACCCAGGAGAGATGAAAATGATGCCTGATTAGCAGAGCATCCACAACCAGCAGCACGTGTTTCTACTGGTGGTGCACATTCTCATGCCTCGGTGTACATAACAAAATTTATTCTGCACATGGATGGAAAAAATTAGCAGGAACACTGCTCCACTGGAGTTTCCCTCTTCAACCTCTCTGCTTCCACCTTTACTCCTGCTTATTTGAAATGTTTTGCAATGAGGGGATTGATATGGTCTAAAAGTCATTCTCTCGTGTAAACAAGCCCTAGATTTGTTGCAGGGACAGGACTGAAATCAGGAAACAGAAAAGGAAGGGTCAGGAAGCATCAGCAAATCAGAATCAGAAGGGAAGGGTTGAGATTAGGGATTGATAGGGTGTCTGAATGGGGACTAGCAAGGTCAGGGAAAGCTAGATGACCCTGGCTCCCTCTTCAATACAAACATGCTTCCAAGCTGCCGGTGGCCCCTTTGAAACTGGCTGCTCTCGCTGTGGCCAGCCGAGGCAACTGACCCTAGAAGCATCTTTCTGAGACACTTGGCTGCTGTCTTTGGCCATGGCAAGACCCCTGAGCCTTGGGAGCACATGTTGTGCCCTCAGAGACCACAACGAATCTCCAGGCCAAGAGACATGAAGCTAAGTAGTATGAATGGGGACAGAAAGCTTAAAAAAAGGGGGGGGGGGGAGGGAGACAGGACACAGAGAAATGACAGAATAAAGTAGATCTGGTAGCATCTGCATGAGGGGCAGAGGGCAAAGGGCCTCAATTTACCATTAGTCACCAGCACAGGGAAATTACTTGTTACATTGATGAACAGTCATAAGGTGAGCAGAATGGTGTATTGAAGCTAGCTGGGACAACCCACTAAATGTACATGAGGGAAAAATCCTGCAGCAATGGCATGGAAATCTGACCAGGAGAGACCTTTCGAAGCTCCAATTCTATAATTAGAAGCAGAAATATTGGCGGGGGGCGGGGTTATTCCCACCATATAATGGATCCTGCTTATTGAACTTTGATATGGAAAAGTTCTATGGGTAGTCCAAGACCCAAATTGTTTCATTGCCCTGCAGTGTGTGAACTGTAGCTCTAATTACAGTACAAACAAACCTTCACTCCCCCCAAGAGATAACAAATATCTCAAAACAAAACTAGTTCTGATGGGACTGGCAGGAAAAAGATTCAGATGCACACTTGACCATTTGGATTCTAATCCAAACAGAACCAAAACTTCAGGCCTTTTAGAGGTTTTCATCCATCATCATCCATCAACAAGCCAGTCACCTTCTTCACATTCTTACTAAAAGTCCTTAGGTTGTCTCCAGCAGATTTTAAAGAACACTTTTATCCACACAAAAAAATCCTCCCTGTTTAATATCACTGAGATTTGGCTTTCTACACATGAAACTCACTGGCTGTAAAAGAAGTTTTGACTTACAGAAAGAAGTCTGTTAACTAGCCACTTACAGTTAAGTGGCTTCATAAGCAAAGCAGCTAAGATTTTCAGGGTTGCCAGTAGAAACTCTCATACAACCCCTTTAGGCAACTTTTAACATAGCTCGTGGGAACAATTTAATATAGGCACTTTAACAATGGACAGTAGCATATCATTTTTCTGTCCTGAGATAAGTTGCTGAGGGAAAAAAGCTGTTATAAAGCCAGGATTTATCTGATAGACACAAGATCCTACACTTCGAAGAGGTGCTATTTATTATGAAGTACTATATCACTTTTTTTCCTTTCCAAGATTTTCATCGACATTCAGTTTTCCACTCAGCACTTCCTCCAAGGGATCAAATACTTTCATTTTATTTATTCTCTTGATTTATATACAATGCCCTAAGTTCTAAACACACATGCGAATCAAAATACATGAGACATATAGACCAGACAACTAAAATGCCCCTTGCCCATCAGAATAACATTCTCCATTGTGTGTGGTATGATTTTAATTGAAAATGCTAATTAACCTAACCCTTATTTGCCAGAGCATTTAGCAATCTAGTCTTTCAGGAGCAGTCTTACTTTGGACTTGGTGCTACAAGTCAACACATCCCTCCACAAAAACCTATGAAAGGAGACCAGTCCATGCTGAAAGCCAGCAATCTGAGGCTATATCAAGGATGAGGAAAGCAAGATCTATAGTTGAGGAGATTTCAGGGGAAACACCTTCTCAGCTTCCATTTTCTATAGGCAGCTGCTAACTCAAGGACCAGCACTGAATTCACACGAGGCTCAAGAAGATCTTTAAGATAGCCTTTTTAGAGATGTATAGGTCAAATACAACTTCCTGAATTGGTCAGCTCATAATGAAAGCAGAAATACACACAGAGCACAGAGTAGGAGGGCCGGAAGAGAAAAGTAGCAGGAAATCATCCTTTACCTCAGCTGCTTCTGAGCAAACAGGTCCAAACAGAGCTGAAACATTCTCCTTCAGAACCTGACTGATGAAAGCATTCACGGATTTCTTGGCATTACAGCCACAATCAGCATAAACAAAATCCAAGGTGTAGTTACCCAGGTAAGAGCGGTCCGAATTGACTTTATCAATGGCAATCTGGATAGCTGAGCCTAGCTTTTGGGCACTAAGTGGGTGGGAAGCATTCCAAGGAGCTTGCAATGCCACAGTAAGCTGAGACGTTTCCAATCCATGACCTAAAGCATTAGCAAAGACCACAGCAATAAGTATTGTGGTGTGGATAGGAATCACATTCAGAACAAGCCTGAGGAGGTAACAAGGACCTATTCTGAGCTCCATGCTGTCCCTTTTCTAGCAGCACATCAGCAGTTTGGAAGACTGCACTTTCCTTCTGCTCTTAGTGCTACTTATACTACTGGCTCTAATGACAGCACTAGCTCTGTTGCCGGCCGGTGATATGATTTTAATTAAAAACGCTAATTAACTGAACCTTTATTCTCCAGAGCATTTTGCAATCTAGTCTTTCAGAGGAGCCTTACTTTGGGCTTGGCGCTGCAAGTCAAGTCTGTTCAAATATTCTGCAGGTTTTCATTTAGTGCATTTTAAGAACATATCGTAACAACGAGACTAAGTCAGACCAATGGTCCATCTAGCCCAGTCCCTTGTCTTCCAGTGCCAGGTGCTGCTGAGAGAATGAACAGAACAGGCAATCAAGTGATCCAGCCGGTAGTCCACTCCCAGCTTCTGGCAAACAGAGACCAAGGATGCTCAGAGCATGAGGATTGTATCTCTGCCCGTCCTGACTAATAGCCATTGATGGATCTGCCCTCCGTGAACTTATCTAGGTCTTTTCCCAACCCTGTTATAGTTTTGGCCTTCACAACATCCCCTAGCAACAAGTTCTACAGGCTGACTGTGCATCGTGTGAAGTGGCACTTCCCTATGTTTGTTTTAAAAGGGACAGCATGGATCTCAGACTCAGCCCTTGTTATATACAGGCAGTCCCCGGGTTACATGGATCCGACTTACATCGGATCCCTACTTACAAACGGGGTGAGGCAACCCTGCACTAGCTGCTTCCCCCCAGCAGACCAGGGAGACGTGAAGCTAGCGCCCCCCCCAGCAGACCAGGGAGACACGGAGTGGCTTTTCTCAGCAGACACCTCAGCTTGAGAATAAAGGACTGAGGGAAGTGAGGTGTGGGAGAATAAAACTGAGCTTTGGAGAAATGTTTGGCTAGAGTTTCCCCTACAATATGTACCAGTTCTGACTTACATACAAATTCAACTTAAGAACAAACCTACAGTCCCTATCTTGTATGTAACCCGGGGACTGCCTGTACTTAGGCTCATGCTGAATTTGATTCCTATCCACAATGCTACAGGAATAACGCGTATGGCTTTCTCTTACATGCTGGCCTATCAAAACAAAAGTGTACGCCTTGCATTGCATAAATCTGTATGTGAGTGAGAGAGGGGGGAAGTACATAATACTACCATCAAGAGATAAACACACTCACTGAGGAATGGTGTGTCCTTACCTTGCTTTTTCATCGCCCTGTTTTATTGTGACAGCTGTTGTGCCAAGTCAAATGCAGATTGTACCATCTTTGGTCAGGAACCTCCTCTTCGGCTTGTGAAATAGTTAGGGATGTTAAAATGCATTTATTTTAGTAAACATGTAACATACATGCTGCTGCTTCTGATACAAACACAGCAGCCCGGGATAGGGGCTGCATGTAACCGTGGAGGTTAACCGATGAGACCAGGCTTTTCACTTAACTGTTTACACGATCACATTCCTAGAAGCAGGTACCACAGCTATGGGCACTCAGTCAGAAATGAAGAATTTTACAAGTGAATTGAGTTGGTTAGGGGCAAGCATGGGGAGGGAGGGGAAATCCTTGCAAATTTCCCTCGCTGCCTTCATTTTATAATGACAATGTCAATATACATAGAATTTTTTTTAAGCAGCCCTAGGAATGAATTAACATGCATCATTGGGGAAACCATTTATAACAAAAATGTAGATGTTTCCCTA